GCTTTCTCCCTTGGAGCCGCTGGTGGTTTTGAACTGCTGACCTTGCAGTGAGCAACCCAACTTGGCCTTTTAAATATTCCCTTTATGTTCACCCATTTCTTAACCCACTAGGCACTCCAGGTCTACTCCTCAGATAGAATTAAATCCCAAACATTCCTTTTATTTTCCTTGCTGAGGTAAAAGAAAAAATGCAAAGCAAGAATCTTTCCCACAGCTCATTGTGGTTTGAGGGATGGACTGCTATCCTCTTACCGAAGCTCGGTGACCTTCTGAGCGCACTCCAACGCGTTTCTCTGTTCCAATCCTTCGTCTCTGGACCCCATTTCCTCCAGAGACCTAGGTGGCTCTTCTCCTTGCACGGTATTGCTGGCCATTCTGTGGACGCTGGTAGGAACCCAGAGATTGGTGAGTTTAGCTCTAATGTGACTTCGTTGAAAGAAACTGTACTGTTAGAATTAGACCTTTTCAACATTAAAAGGAGAAGTAGAAATTGCTCATGTGAAGGGGGAGCGGATCTCACCCCTCAAGAAAGAAGAAAATGCATTGAAACGGACTGTGTTTGTCACTGTGCAATACTGGTTGATGCGACCGAACTAAGGAATGGTATGTCTGGATGCGCTCCTAATAAAATGATTTGAAAATTTCAAAAAAAGAAAGAAATTGTCATGTTGTGGGGGCTAACATCATGCCCGTGCCTGTGAGGAGGCTATAAACGTGTGGGGGGAATTCCAATATCTTTTCATTTCATTTTCCTAGAATGCTTTGATGTCCTCTGGTATGTAAAAGAGAGTTAGAAGAGTTAGTATAATCTTGGTATGTAGGGAGGATAATAGTATAAAATACGGTTGCCAGGTGTCAAGTATTAATGAATTATGACCTAAGGGATGAAATGTGCGGTAACATAGCGGAAATGCCTTCAATTAAGGCAAAGGACTACAGTTTTCTTTCCTCTGAAGGCAGCTCTGGAGACACTCCTTTTCCATTCTTTAAGCAATGGATTTAAGTTTGATCTAGGATTGACCTTCACTTTCTCCAATGCTGCGAGGGCCTCTCCAATGTCCACACTCACTTGTTTCCTGCGCGACGTGCTGCTCACAGGCACGGGAGGAACAGAGCTCACGGGAGAGTGAGAAGAACTTACGGTTTGCTGGTTTCCCTGGATATCCCAGCACTACGGTTGTCATTTGTCACATGCTCCTTAAATGTCGGAGGGGCTGTGTAGCTCAGCCTGTCTCTTGGCCCTGGAATTTATGTAGAAGACGGAGACTGGCAACAGAACCTTCCAGAACACCACATGCTAGAACTGGAACACCAAATCACTGCACTATGTGACACTCAACCCCGGTGATGTCCCTGGCTGGGGTGAACCAGGAAGCAAAACGCGACAAGCAAAAACCAACTCTCCCCAGGGGACACCACGCAGGCCTCACCTCTTTGGGCTTTCTCTGCCACCAGGGTCCCCGCGGTGTGGAGCTGTCTGCGAGCCACATGGACACGAAGCTGAGCCCGGCGGCGGGGAGAAGATGAACTGCTGTGTTGGACATGCCGCTGCAGCCTGGACCTGACAGGGTGCTGGGGCACTGGGGGCCGCGGGGCGCGCTCTAGGGGCTGCACCGCTGCCTGGGCCGGCCAGTCCCGGCCCCTAGAGGTCAACCGGAGCAAGGTCGTCCTCAGCCGATGGGCAAAAAGGAAAAGAGAGCAGCACGTGGCTTCACTTTCAATGAGTTATTATTTGGTCTCTTATTTAGTCTTTCAACTTTCTGGTTCCCATACCCGGTAAGCGCTTGAAGGCAGGGACCCGGTGGTGGCACCTCTGTGCTCTGTGGCTTTGGCGATGATGACACGCCTCAGTAGAAATAAAGTGAGGGAGCTCCCTGAATCTTTTATGCTGATCTTTGTTTGTAAATGACATATGTTTACCCCTATACTAACAATTTATGGATATTATAAAACACACATGCCAAGTTTTTAAAGGAGGAGGTAAAGGATTTGCGTATTAGAGCTTGAATTCTAAAGCACCTGCTTGGGGAAATCTGGGGTGCACAGTGGGAGCTCGAAAGCCATTTTTGAGTCTTCTGAGTCCTTTCTGACCGTTCACCGGCATGAGTTGGTTCCAACGCATAGCGACCCTTTGAGTTCTCGAGACGGTCACTCTGGCAGGACGAGAGGAAAGCCTTGGCCTCCTCCCTCCGAGCCCCTGCTCATTTCTACCCGCTGACCTGGGGTGAGCAGGCCAGCGTGTCAGCACACGCCCCCTCAACCTGACTGCTAGTCCATGCCACGTGGCTCCCAGCAGCCCCGAGAAGAAGGCAGAAACTGCCCCTGGACGCTTCTGAGAAACTGGGTTTGGGTTTTTTTTTGGTAGCAAAAGGTGCTACCAATTTTATTTTCATGAAATGCGATTTCTTTATTTTTCTTGTAAATGTGTTACCTGTTCATTTCATACTGACTACTTCAGTTTTTTTAATTAACTTTTGTTTTAATTTATTTTTTAAATTTTAATTTAATTTTATAGCTCTTATCACAATCCAGATATATATCCATTTGGTCAAACACATCTGTACATATGTTGTCATCATTTTCCGAGAAACTAACTCCTCTTCACGGGACTAAAAAGCCCTTTCTTCTGAGGAGTAGTGGGTGGTTTTGAACTGCTGGCCTTGGGATTAGCAGCCCAACTGTTTGGACTAAGCTGAAGCAAGTCAGGGCCCTGCACTTGCTTCCCTGCAGGACCCCAAGGTCAGTAGCAGCAGATGGTGCCTGATAAGATAACCGGTGAAACCAGATGCTCTGGGTTCAAAGAAAGCCTCAAGGAGTCCACAAGCAATTCTCAGAGTTTCCAGACCCCATATGCTAATTGCCATACATTCCTCACCACCCCTTTAAAAACCGGCACCCCCCACCCCAAGCCGCTGAGCACGACTTCCCTGGTCACACAACCTTGTCCCCAGCTCTCCCTAATAAAGCTGTTTCTGTTTCTGCTCTCCCCTGTCCTGTCAGTTATGTCTGTCTGTCTCCCTGCACCTCAGTTTCACCTTTAGAGCAACTTGTACCCGTTATGTCTCCAGGGCTCCTTAAACCAACAAGGCGGCCAAGGAAAATTCTAGAAAGCAGGGAGAGGCAATAGTGCCGTCACGGAGAGTCCAGTACAACTCAAGGAAGTACATGATAACTGGACGAACCTGGGAAACAGTGGGGTTTACCCTCCGTCACAAGCTGAAAAGAGCCATCTAGTTAAATGAAAGCGAGTGGCTGTGAACACGTCCCAGTCGTGGTTCTTTCCTTGCCTCTGTAGCCCCTCCTGCCACGGCGATAGGTTGACCTGCCTCCACTCTCGGCTTTGTGATCATTCCCTTTGTTTTTCATCACCCTGGTTGGCTCCAGGGCCTTGCGTCGGCTGCAACCCATTGGCCTCATGCTCTTTCCTTCATTCTACGGATCACCTTTGTTTCGCCTTTGTTCTGTTTAAGGCTTAATAGAAGATTCTTGACAAAATTTGTTTGAATGTGGGGTCTTTTTCTGTAGCACAGTAGACATTTTAATATGTGCTTCTCTATTATTTATCATTGGCTTGCACACCCTGTCTGTCTGCCCAGCTTTAAGGACGAAGCCTCAATAGCATCTAATACACATTGTGCCTTAGCTCCAGTGGATAATCAGTCCCCCTCCTTTTCTGGACCTGATGCCAGGCTTTTTAGCTTTACAATGGGCTTCTGGGGCCTCACTGCCCATCAGCTGTCTCATTGACTGACTGTGACTTGAGCATGCCACGTGATCTTGCTGTGCTGCAAGGTCCTCATGAATAAGTGAAATAATAACAACCTCTTAAGGTTGTTCGCTGTGAGGATGGAGTGCGGTAACACATACAGCGTGCCGAGAGACTGGTCTAGGTGTGTCCTTGAACGAATGTGATGTGCATAGTCACCACTGCCTCCGGTGGAGGGCCCTGAACCAGGCTTACACGGTTTCCTGTCCTCAAGCGTGTGAGCATCTCAATCATGGTCCCTTGGCCTGCAACCGTGATGTGCTGATACGCTGCCACTCAGGATTCTGTGATGGTTTGCTTTGTATTCTATTTTTTTAAATAACAAAGGTAACACGCTCACTGCCACTGAGTCAATTCCAACTGAGAGCAACCCTACAGCACCCAGTACAACTGCCTGCCGGGCGTTTCTGAGACTGTAACTCTTTTTTTCATTTTTATTTGTTTTTATTTTTATTTTTTTAATCATTTTATGAGGGGCTCATACAACTCTCTTATCACAATCCATACACACATCATTTGTGTAAAGTGCATTTGTACATTCATTGCCCTCTTCATTCTCAAAACATTTTCTCTCCACTTAAACCCCCGGCATCAGCTCATTTTTCCCCTCCCTCCCCGCTCCCCACTCCCTCATGAGCTCTTGATAATTTATAAATTATTATTTTGTCAGATCTTGCCCTGGACTGTAACTCTTTACAGGAGTAAAAGCCCCGTCTTTCTCCTCCAGAATGGTTGGTGGTTTTGAACTGCTGATCTTGCACTTAGCTAGCAACTCAATGCATAGCCCATTATGCCAGCACTACCTATGTTCTATTTAAGTGGCCACATTTCTATGAATCTTTGGATGTCATTAAGAGGAACCCTAAAAAAAGAAAGAAAGAAAGAAAAGAGGAGCCCTGAAGATGCAATGGTTATGAGTTGGGCTACTAACAGCAAGGCCAGCAGTTCAAAACCACCAGATGCTCATCGGGAGAAAGATGAGACTCTAAGTCCTGTGAAAAGTCACAGTCTTGGAAACTCACAGGGGGAGTTCTACCCTGTGCTATAGGGTCACTGCGAGTCAGAACTGAGTCCATGGCAGTGAATTTTGAATGCCATGATAGGCCTCATACAGATGGTCTCCCTTATCTGGATGGATTTTGTCTTTGTCCAGTTGGAAACTTAATAAGTGTGTCCCTATAAATTAGACTTGGAAATTTGAATGCGGTCTCTCTTTTATCCAGAACCAAGTGCACCTAGAACAAAAACTCCAATTTCCCTCTACCGAATCTTCTTTTCTCTGAGACCTAGACTGCTCCATCTGACCACCCGTGCCCTTTTACAACCAAACCAGAAACTGAATACAAGTAGGGGTTCAGCCTGATTGCCCAGTCTCCTGCTCTGTGTGTCATTTAAGAGGAAACGAATAAACCAAATTCAAATATATTTTATAGTGACCTCTTTATTAAGTCTTAAACAGGACAAGGATACCCCGGACTGGCCACGGGAGGTTGCAGCAGTGAACTTTCAAACTCACTGTGTCTGAGAGCAAAGCTTTCAATGTTGCTCATAAATGCTCAGAAATAACTCAATGGAGACTGAATTTATGTGGAGGCTCAAAATGGATTTAAGGCCTTCTGCAAACCAAGTGCTTAGCATTTAAACTATATTATAGTGTTGAAATCATATTCCCTTGGTTCTTAATGCTCTGTGGCCACAGTCTGTTGATATGTTAACCAGGGAAACAGAATAAAGCAATAGAGCTCCAAAGTTACTTTTGGAATAAATCATCCTTGAAACGGATTAAT